TGCGCGTCACGCCGGGCTCGGCACCGGTGCGGGCCACCTTGCGGCGGAGCGCGGCGTCGCCTGGGCGGCCGCCGCCGCCGAGGCCGCTGCTGCGCAGGCGGTTGAGGAGTGTTGACTTGCCGGCGTTGGGCACGCCCACCACCATGGCGCGCATGCCGAGCAGGCTGTCCTGGCGGCGGGCGGCGGAGCCGACAGCGGCGAGGATGGCGCGCGTGGCGGGGCCGTCGTCCTCGCCCGCGAAGAGGCAGGCGGGGAGGCGGTCCCGGTCTGACGACGAGTGGAGGCCGGCGGGACCCCTGTCCTGCTCGTGGAACTTCTTCAGCCGGTCGACGACGGCGCGGTCGGTGGGCCAGGCCGTCAGGTCGCGCTTGGTGTAGACAACGATGCGGGGCCGCGAGCGGGCCTCGAGCTCGGTCTCGAGGGTGGGGTTCCACGAGGTCAGGGGGACGCGCATGTCGCGGCACTCAATGATGAGGCCGATGTTGACCAGCTTCTCGCGCATGCGCTGCACGGCGGCGTGGTGATGGCCTAGGAAGTAGGAGCGCGTGATGTTTTGCGACGCCTCGTACGTGAGCCGGGGGTTGAAGCCGTGGCGGGGCCGGGGGGTGGTGGCGGCTTGGGGTGGTGGTGGCGGGGGCGAGTCCGAGGCCGGCTCGGCGGCGGGGGGTTTTGTCGGTGGCGGGTACTGTGACAGGTCCGAGTCCGAGTCCGGGGTTTCGGGTATGCTGTCCTGCCTAGAGCGCAACCTCCTGCACGACGCCGCCAGCAGTCTGCCATTCCGGCTAGAAGCGGCCGCCGTCCTTGCCAAGGGGCGCATCCCTGGCATCACGGGCCACGCGCGGGCCAAAAGGACCGGTGCCATCGAGGCCTCTGATGTGGACTGGGCTACGTCAAGATGGCTTCTCTGGTGGGCTTGCCGTAATAAGCAACAGCGCCCTGTCGTCTCACACCATTCCTCGAGCTAGTGGGCGCGTTGGCGCGGCCCCGAAAGCTGATTTCTTTGCCGGCTTCCGGGTCGGTTCTTGCATCATGCGGTGGAGTGCAAATTTGATTTGCGGGTGGAATGGCCCGTGGCCCAAGCTCCACGTGCGATGCCCCCTTCTAGGCCTATGATCGGGCCATATCCACTGGCCCTTGTCTTCGTGTTTCTCCTTTCCCTCCACCAGCGTCGGCGGCTCTCTGGTTTCGGCGGTTCATACACTAACCGGACGCGTCGCTAGCTGCGCCTCTGGGCTGCTCGATTCTCGGGATGTTGTCATGGAATTCTGTTCCAAATTGGCCAGGCGATCAACTAAAGTGTGTTAGCTGGAGAGCCTGTGCGCTTCTCACAGACCAATGACATCATCGGTGATCGCGCCAGACGCATGTCCCAGCGCCACGCAAGTGACGTGAGTGGGTTGTCCGCCAGAACTCAATGCTAGCGGGGGGTCTGTCTCTGGAACCAAGGGCTGCATGTGCGTGCGAGTGTGTGTCGCTTGGGAGAGGGAGAAAAAAACACGCCTCGACAAATGCAATGCGCAATCAACTTGTGCCGGTGCCTGGGCTGCACACGACAGCGCTGTGCTGGCCTTCAGCAGGGATTGGGGGCCGCAGGGCGCCCTCATTTGCTGCGGCCAGCACAAATCAAAATGGCCAAATGCAGGCAATCCGAAGGCATCAACCCTGGGCGCATGAGTGGACCCGCCAGAACTGTGGGCCGCTGACACCAAGGAAGATTTGCTGCTGAGGGACAGCCCAGAACGCTAGCGTCGCGCCGCAGCAGCTCGCGCCCTTTGGGACTGCCTTTTGGTCTGCAGCTTGCCAGCGTGTGCAAACTGCTGGTCGCCCTTTTGGGGATCGTCATCGTTCGGGCATTTTGGCCCAAGCCCTTTATTCGGTCCTGTGCTGTTTATCATCGCCCACCACTGCGCCCGGGGTTTCTTTGATTGCTTATTGGCAATTTGCTTCATTCCTCATCCTTTATCCCCAGTATTCTTTTCCCTTTTCTCCATCACCGCCCCTCGCAGCCCGACATGTGTCGCCAACATCTGTATTCATAATGAGCAGGTGCTAAAGGAGCATCCCTTCGGAGTTTGATATTCACACCGTAGTGGTGCCTTCTACATTCCCCAAGTCCAAATGTCATCCCTCTTCGGCTCCAAGCGCCGTCGGCCTCCCAACCAGGTATGTCGTCAGTGGCTTCTGCACCCATTGTTTTGTCCACGCCCTTTTGAGCAGCGAAATCCTCCTCCTCGTCGCGCATGAGCCTCGCGTCGGCCTATCGATACAACCCAAAATGGACGACGCCCATCCACAGCAACGACGCAGCCTTGGACTGTACTTGCAACAACAACCCCAGCGCACATCGACTAACCTGCGTCGATGCCTTTCTCGAAACAGCCCCTCACAACGTCGACGGCGCACTCAGACGCGGCCACCGCAGCACTATCTGCCTTTTCGCGCCGAGAATCCACTCCTTCCCTCTCCGAAGCCGCTGCTGCCGCCGCCCTGAAGGCCCGACCTCACACCCCTACCGATGTCTCCAGCATCGTGTCCAAGCGACGCAGCGCTCGAAGGAGCGCCTCCAACTCGTCACGCGGCACCGCGAGCCCCCACCCGCCCCTCGAACGCGCCGGTAGCGCCGGCTCCATGAGGGACCGCACCTTTCGATCGGCAAGCCCGCACGGTCGCCAGCCCACAGGAGGCGCTAACGGAGCCGCCGTCCAGCCCGCCGAGTACGATGCGCCCCCGGTACCATCGATCCCGCGCACCGCTCAGGCGCCGCAACAGCAGCAGGCTCCTCAGAGAGTCGGGAGCCTAAGGATAGCAAGCACGCCAGTGCGGGTAGCGTCGCAAAAACTCAAAGATGGAGGCGCTAAAGGCACAGGGACCTGGTTCGGCGCCCCGGCGGTTGGGGATCTTTCCAATGTTCGCACGTCTGACGCAGCCTTGGCTACGACAGGCCCTGCTACGGCGCCTCCCAAGGATCCATGCGCGAGACCTGAGAGCAGGTCATCCGTAAATTTCTCCTACCCGTCTCGCCTCCGGCTCGGGTCATCGCCGCCCCCGTCCCCAATGGCGGAGGAACACGAGCCACGACAGCTCGAGTCTACTGCGCAGTCACAGGTAAGAACCAAGCGGTCGTCCATGACAACTTCGCAGCCCACCAGGAAGACATCTACGAGGCAACGGCCGGCCTCGACGTCTTCGACTTCAGACATGGTCTACGACCCCAACTCGCGGCGTATGGTCTCGAGGGCGGAGCTCATGGCCCTGGAGCAGATTCTGGACGATACGGAACCGAGACAATCCCCGAAGAAGAAGAAGCTTTCAAGAGCTGGAAGCCACCTTTCAAGAGGGTCTGTCTCGAGAACTCAGACTGCTGAGCCTACCCAGGCAAATCCAGAATCCGTTCCCGCTTCGCCGGTGGTCAGGCAGGAGCATACCCCGCCCTCTACATCTGGCTATATCGAAGTTCAACAGCCTGTTGCAGGGTCGGACTGTGTCGGGCCTGACTATGAAGGAAAAGAGCGCGTTGAGCAGCCGGTGCAGAGCCGTGCATCTACCGATGGCGGTCGGGAAGTTGCGTCTCCATCAAACTACCTTCCGGAAGTCGTGGTTGCAAGACGGGCCGAGACATCTTCGCCACCGGAAGGCAGGCCTAGCTACATGCTGGGAAAGCGACCTTCGATCATTGAAGAGCAAGTCGAGATGGAGGCTTCGGAGTACGAACGTCCGCCGTCGCCACTTGCACTGGCTGGCGCTGTCGAGTCGGTCGGTACCAGGCAGTACATCTCGGAGCAGCCTGCTGCTGCCCCTGAGCCCCGGCAACCACAACAGGCGCCACAACAGAGTGCACAACCGGCCAGGGCGATAGTGTCGCCCGCAGAGCTCTCGGCGGAGGCGCCGGACGTGGTCCCTATCAATGAGATCAGTGAGGAAAAGCCTTCTTCCCCCGTCGAGCCAAGGCAAGCGCACACGATCAGGTCCCAGAGAACACACTCAAACAGCCCAGTGCGGGTCGCACACTTTGGACCAGTTCAAAGAACCCTTTCTGTGCGCCACTCGCCACCTCCGCGGTCCATCTCGCCGAGGAAGTCGGCTCTGAAGCAGCATAGCCCACCGCGGAGCACTTCCTCCGATGATGGACCAGAATCGAGCGCAACGTCTCCCACCCACGAAGATGCAGCGCTGGCTCGCAAGAAGTCAGTTCGCGTCAGTTTCAACGACAAAGAAACAGTAGTGGGAAACGACGAGCCAGCCGATGCACCTTCTCCCAAGGCGGAATCGCCGAGGGCTTCGAGTCCACCGTCCAGTGGTCGCCGCACCTGGTTTAGTAACATCGGCAGGAGCAAGAAGAAGGACCTGCCATCCTTCGACGATGACGAGGTCATGAAGCCACGCCCTGCCCTGCCGTCGTTTGGTAGCGTGAGGGAAAAGAAGAAGCCAAGAGGGGAGGAGGAGCGACCGCTTGTTCGACCTGCCGATCCGACAAATCTGGCCCACTCGCCCGAGTCCCCGATTGCTCGACTTGGCGCAGGCTCAGCTAACGGCGGGAACAAGAACGGACTAGGCCAGTCTAACGATCGAGTTATCGGTGGTGTTATCTCTCAAGACTGTGCCTCGAGAATCCCGGCCAACACGTCGAGGTTCAGGGAGCCTCTGCCACCCGTGGTGACTTCAAGAGAGGGCAGTGGTTACATCTCGAATACCGACAGCAGCTCCGACAGTGACGAGGAACTTCTGAGAGACACGCCTACTTTGTCTTCCCAGCCGAGTGGCGCTACTTCCGTTTCCGTTCCAGATCCTGAGTCCGAGTCAAAATCGACAAACGGCTTCGTTTCCTCTTCTACCATTGTCACCAGTTCAGCAAGGACGCCAACAATTCAGGCCGAGGCGAGTAGCAGTCAGACACCAGTGGCAGATTCTCGGAACCCTGGCCCGGTGCCCATGCCGACCGCAGCAGTGCCTGCCATCGCTATCTCTGCACCAAGCCCCAGGCTGGACGAGGGACAGAAGCCTACGCTAGGGAAGACTGTTGCTCTGCCAGGGGGGTTTCCTGATGATGATGAAAACGAACACGCCTCGGCACAGCAAACTTCACCTGGCCAAGCTACAAATGATACCCAACCTGCGTCTGCAAGACAAGTCACTTTTGAGCTAGTTTCGCAGGCTTTGGACACCAAGTCAACTATTCATACCCCAGCGACCGTGGCTGCTACTCACTCAGCCATGACGGACGACTCGGACAGCGATGGAAGTAGCATTTACAGCGACGCTTACGAGGACCCGGCGGACATGGATAATGACGGTTTCCAGTCGATCGACGCCATACTTGAGAGTCCTGTTGTCGCCAATGCGTCTGCAAGTCCGCTACGCGATGGGGCGCCAGTCGAAGTGTCAGAAGCTGAGCCTGTCATGCAGCGCCCTCCCACGCCAGTGGCGTCGCCTGCGCCCGAGGTGGTTGCGCGAGCAGTCCCGTTCCATCCTCTTGATGACTGGGAAGCGGCTAAAGCCTTCTGGCGGGGTCTGACTGCCGATAAGAGGGCGCAGTTGGAGAGAGAAGCAGCCGAGGAGGCGGGCGCTGAGGCGGATTTGGACCAAGAGGCCAAGGTGGAGGCGGCCAAGCCCAGGCGGAAAAAGTCGGTCGAGAAGAGGCAAGCAGAGAAGAGGGCGATTCAGGAGTCGGCACACGGCAACCCAGAGCGTGTCTATATGGCCAAGCCCGGCACCAAGGTCGAGGGCTATGTCGCTAGCCCCGTGCTCAGAAAGAGCATGCGACAAGAGGAACCCCGCGAGGCGGCTCCTACAGGAAGGCCTGTTCTCCGCAAGTCAATGCGAGGAAAGGCCACGGCGGAACCGCAGCGACCCTCGACAAGCTATGCCAGCCCTGACGCTCGGCCCAGTGCAGCACTCGGCCGCCCAATGACGTCGCATGTTTCGACAACCCAGGCGGCAGCCGGGGCGGCTCACCGGACGCACGACAGGACGAACTCGGATGCCAGCTCGCTGCCACAGAGGAGCGGCGCCATGACCAGCTTCTTCCCAGCTGTGCTGAAGCGAAGGGGTTCGACTTCAAGCGAGAGCAGCTTTAGGCGGTCCACCACTCGGCGAGCCTCGGCTGCATTTGGGAAGGACGAGTCTGGAGGCTTTTCTATGCGCAGAACCCTACGCGGCGCAGCTTCCCCGGAACAGGAACAGGTGGAGCCCAGCCGGCGCTTCTCCTTGAGGTCGTTCTCCCCCGCGGACTCGACGCGACGAGGGCAGATGGCGCAATCGCCCCCGGTCAGCTTCAACAACCAGCAACGCATGCGCTCATCCCTCCGAGACGGCAAGAGTAAGGACAGCAAGCCCAAAGGTGATGGTAGCGGCATCCACATTCCCTCGCTGTTCAGGCCCAAATCGTCCAAGGGCAAGAAGTCGAGTCGATTTGACGACTCGAGCGACGAGGAGGGAGGAGTCGGGGGAAGCGGCTTTCGGAGCCGGTTCGAAGACTCTAGCGACGACGAGACCACGGCACCGCCGGCGCCCCTCCCGGCAATGAGCACCAAGACCCTGCGGTCGGGTGCGAGCTCATCGAGGCCACAAACTGTTCGGGAGGAGGCAGAGTCGCCGAATCTCCCTGACAGCGACGACGACGAGAAGCCAGTGGCGCCAGTCAGAGCGACGGTTGGTAGGGCTACTTCGTCGGGTTCCGGACGGCTGTCGCGACAAGCCCCGAACATGGCTCACCAAAACTCACGCTCGGGCCGCGGCGCTGCGTTGGGGACATCGCTTATGAAGAGTGGCTCCATCAGCAGCACTCCCGCAGGCGGCAGTCCTCCAGTCAGTTCGACGGGCCGCCGTGGAAACTTCATGTCGACAGTGCTAAGACGCAAAAAGACTGGCGGCAACGAGCCGGGCAAGATCCAACGCGGCGAGGTCATGGACAGTGCGGCTCGCCGCGACACGGCTCTAGAGCGAAGCGCACAAGAGCTTTCTGCGCTGCGCTTGCAGAGGCGCACGGCGTTCATGTCCATGGTGCCTACAATGCAGCGCAGCCATAGCGATCAGCCGGACCAAGACTGGCCGCTGGCGACGCCGGTAGACGGGGACGATGAAGAGAAGACGATTGCGAGCTCGCGTCCCAGCTTTGCAAAGCGTAGGAGCTTCTCACAAGGCGACGCGATCTCCAGGGTGACCAACGACGACGCCCTCGTGCTCGTGCCCGACAACATGGACGAGGCGGCGCTGGCCACGGGCGCGGGGCCGCAGAAGAAGAAGAAGCGGTTCCCGGCGCTGAGGCGCATGTTCAGGCTGGACGACTAGGAGGCCGGGTGTCTGCCGCCGAAGCCGCCGTCGGGGGCGTATGCCATCCGGCTGGGGACCGATTCCTGCTGCACGATCTTGTTGGTTCTGTCCTGCGGCTGCGGTGGTCACGTGGGATGCGGGATTGATGGACGAGGTGGCTCTACGAAACACGATACCTCGATAACCTAATGGCTGCTTTTTTTCCTTTTGTTTTCTATTCTTTTTTTTTTCCTTATTTCCTGTCGCTGGTTTGGCTGGTAAAAGTCGTTGGAACGGAGGGATTTGGCGTTTTCTCACCCTTTCGACTGCAGAGCCATGGGTTACTTTTCCTCGTTAATTTTTGGACAGCCAAGACGTTTACCGTAGTACCCCTGAGAACAGAGAGATTTATTTCGCGATGTTTACAATTGATAGTTGTGTTTGTTGGGGTTGTGTTTAAATTCTTTCACTGGATTCATCACAGCTCCACTGGCACGGGGCTCGGTGGTGAAAACTACGTAACACCGGTAAGGCCTTGAACCAAAACCGGCGACTTTGGCAAAGACACAACACACAACAGGCACCAGCCAAATGGAGCAGCTCCCAATCCAGCCGTCCGGACTGTACTGGCAAGATGAATTCATCACGGAAGAGCACGAGGCAGAGCTGATAGGGGTATTCGGCCAGCTAGAGTGGCCTGAACGTGGAGGGCGCCTGTCGCTTCACTACGGCTTCACGTTCGACTACAAGACGTTCGGCGTGGACCCGAACGTGCCCTTCAAGCCCTTCCCCGACTGGCTACGACCCCTACTACCCAAGACCGAGGGCCGGCCGCCGGACCAGGTGTGCCTGCAGTACTACCCTCCCGGCGCCGGCATCCCGCCGCACGTCGACACGCACTCGGCCTACGACCAGCTGTACGCCCTGTCGCTGGGCGCCCCGGTGCGGATGCAGTTTGCGCGCGACCGCGGCGACGGCTCGTCAAGAGAGCAAGCCGACGTGGACCTCGCGCCGCGCAGCCTGCTGCGCATGAGCGGCGATGCGCGCCTGCACTGGACGCACGGTATCCGCAAGCGCAAAACGGACACCCTGCCCGACGGCTCGGTCCGCCGCCGCGCCGACCGCTGGAGCGTCACGTACCGCTGGCTGCGCGACCCGGCTGTGTGCGAGTGCGGCAATGCTCGCCTGTGCGACACGGCCCAGACCCGGCTAGGGATCGAGAGGGAGTTGCGGTGGAAGAAGGGGGAGGGGGTGGAGCGGGATGGGGAGGAGGGGTCGGCGACTGCTGGCCTCACGCCACGCCACGCCACGCCACCAACCAGGTAGCAGCAGCTACCTGCCCGCTCGGTGCGGAGCTGAAGATGCGAGAGAGGAAGAAAAAAAGACGTACCCGAACCCACCCACGTCGTCGACAATCTTTCCCCAAACGGGTCGTCCCGCGCCCGCTAGCTGCTGCTGTTGGCGTCACCGACCCGACCCCTCTCAGCTGCCAAGCCTGGTGAATTCCATGGCGCCCCAACTATTCCCTTCGCGAGCTGACATGTGTGGTCAGCTTCCTCGCTCCTCGGACTGTCAAAAGGTTTAAAAGCTACACATCTTCCCGCTCTCACTCTCAATACCAACAATCGATAGCATGCTCCGCCGACTCGCCGACTGTTCTCCCTGCCTGCGTGGTCTTTCTCCGTCGATCCACTGCCCCAGATGAGGTTTTCCCCGTGGCTTGCTGCCCTTCTCGGCGCAGCCCGGGCCCGGGCCGCGGACCAGTCCTCGCTGTATGGAAATTCGACCGACGCTGTAAGCCCCGCCCTCGTGATACCCCAAGCCCCAAGCCCCAAGCCCTCCTTACTGCCACCCGCTAATCGCCTATGCCGCTCAGTGCGCCCAACTGGCCTCGGCCCTTCCAGGCAAGACGTCCTTCCCGGACTCGGCCCTCTACGGCCAGTCCAAGGACTACTGGTCGGCGCTCCAGGCCGCCCTGTCGCCCGCCTGCTTCTTCTACCCAGAAAGCACGGCCGATGTCTCGGTCGCCATGAAGCTGCTGGCTTCCCTGTCGGCACCCTTCACTGTCAAGAGCGGCGGGCACACGCCCTACGCCGGCGGCTCCAACATCCAGGCCGGAGTGACGATAGACCTAATCCGCCTCAACCAGGTCACCGTCTCGGCGGACCGGCAGACGGTCTCGGTCGGGCCCGGCAACCGCTGGGGTAACGTGTCGGCGGTGCTGGACCCGCTCGGGCTCGGCGTCGTCGGCGGCCGCGTCGGCCAGGTCGGCGTGTCGGGCCTGACCCTCGGCGGCGGCATCTCGTACTTCTCCAACCGCCGCGGCTGGGCCTGCGACAACGTGCGCGCCTTCGAGGTCGTGCTCTCCAGCGGCCGCGTCGTCGTCGCCACCCCGGCCCGCCATCCGGACCTCTTCTGGGCTCTGCGCGGCGGCGGCGGCAGCCACTTCGGCCTCGTCACGCGCTTCGACCTCGAGGCTTTCCCCCAGGTCGGCGGTCTGTGGAGGCGGCTGTCGCTCTACTCGCTCGCCTCGCCGTCCGCCGCCCAGCTCATGCAGGCCTACGCCGACCTTGGCCTGGCGGGGCTGGACGGGGACCCGGACGGGCACAACTTTATGTTCGTTGGCGACATGGCCGCCTTTGGCGGCGGCTTCATGGGCAGCTTCCTCTACCATTCGAACCCCGCCGCCGCCGACGACCCGCTGGCCGTCCCGCCCGTCTTTGCCGACATGGCCTCGGTGCCCGGCTCGCTCCAGACCACGACCGACGTGGCCAACGTGTCGGCGCGCTTGCTCGAGATCGGGGAGCCCAACGGCCTCCGCAAGGGCTGGACCTCGGTCGCGATCCGCCTCACCCCCGACACGGCCGCTTTGCTCCGCGACGTCGTCGTGCCCGAGTTCCAGGCCCACGTCGCGAGGCTCCGCGCCGCCGCCGCCTCTCTCAACGTCACCGACGAGGCCCTGAACCCGGGCATGTCGTGGCACGTCGTCACGGCGACCACGCTGCGCGCCATGCAGCGCAACGGCGGCAACGCGCTGGGCCTGCGGCCCGAGGACGGGCCGCTCATCCACATGAACACGATCCACGGCTGGTCGCGGCCCGAGCTGGACGAGCTCGTTGAGGCCGGCCTGGACGAGTTGACGGCGCGCATCGAGCGCGGCGCGGCCGCGCGGGGGCTGGACAGCAGGTACAAGTACTTGAACTACGCCGGCCGCGCCCAGAGGGTCTATGAGGGCTACGGGGCCGAGAACCACGCGCGCCTGCGCCGGGTGGCGGCGCACTACGACCCGGACGGGGTGCTGAGGAGGCTGTGGAGGGGGTACATTAAGCTGTAGCAGCGGCGCTTGGCGGGACAGGCAGAGAGATAATCATAATCACAACATGACACGAGAGAGAGAGAGTGAGGGTTTTCTGGAATGCTTGTTTGATTGCAAGACCCAAGCCCAAACGGGCGGACATCAGGTATACACTATCTCGAACGAAGCCTCGTGGGGGGCTGTACGCCTCCCGGGGGCCACCAAGAGCGCACGCTCCGTCGCATCCTCTCCCGGACGCCCGAGCAAAAGCCCATCGAAAAGATCCAGTGCTGGCTGGTGGACCAGGGCACGCACCTTTGTTTTCTTTGAATCGCGATTTTTGCAAAAGGAAAAAAAGGGGCGTGCCCTGGTCCACTAGCCGGTGACTGGGAAAGGTTGTCGATGGTTAGGTATGTTGGGTTTCGAGGGGAAATGGTCCCGTCGTGGCCAAATGTTGTGTTTTGGTCTGGCGATGTTTTTGTTGGTGTTGTTGTCCTTTTTGCTCGCGCGTCCGGGAGAGCTTGCTCCGTCACGTCGTCTTTGTGAACCTCCGTAGGCGTCCCCGAGGCTCTTGCTTCGTACCTGACCCCCGTCCACCTGGGACCTAGCCATCACAATCACACAACCACACTTGCCCTTTTTTTCTTTCTCCTTCTTTGCGCCCAAACGTTGTCTCCCACTCCCCCGCGCCCCAACCTCCGTTGCCTCATCTCCCCCCCTCCCCCCTTCCCTTAATTTGCAAAAGCCGCGAAACCGGCGGCATTCCGGGGCCCGTTGCGCGCCGCCACTCGGGGGACCCGTGCTTGATCCTCTGGTGGCGACGCAGGTTGTCCATGCGGGACCCCTTGATGACCGCGCCGCAGTCCGGGCAGGCCATGGTGACCCTGCCGTGCTTGCTATTGACGTGGCGCTGGAGGTCCTTGCGTACCTCGAAGGCCTGAGAGCACGTCGGCTCGGCGCAAACGAAGCGCCGCTGCTGCTGCCGCTGCCGGCCCCCGGGCGTGCCGGGGCTCCCGCCGCCCGACGCCGACGACGCCGACGCTTGGGTGAGCCCCGGCGGCGACGACGATACCTGGGTGAGCCCCGGTGATGATGGCGATGTCTTGGTGAGCTCCGGGGGCGACGACGACGACGACGACGACGACGCCTGGGTGAGCTCCGGCGCCGCCGTCGCGGATGGCGTGGGTGCTGCTGCTGCTGCTGCTGCGGCGGCGGCGGCTCCTGATGATGAAGATGATGTTGCCGTTGTTGTTTGCTGCTTCATCGTGTCTGCCATGTATGCCGACAGCGGAAAGGCCGGCACCCACTCGTGCGTGTCCCAGTCGTGTGTGCCGCCCTTGTCCTTGTCGTTGCTGCCGTTTTCCTTGCCGCCATAGTCACCGCCTGGGTGCCTCGCCTCGTCCGTCTTGTCCGCCAAAACACCTGCCGTATCCTGGGCGTTTTGGAATTGCGGCTCGTACACCCAGTCCACCACCAGAAATTCCTCCCCAAGTAGTCCCCAGTCGACTCCCGCACCCGCACCCTCGAGCTCCCACGATTGCCCGATGCCATTCACCGGGGCACCCTCGAACTCCAGCGGCTGCCCGACGCCACTCATCGGGACAGCCTCGAACCCCTCGAACCCCTGCGATTGCCCGATGCAACTCATCGCGACAGCCTCCACATATCGCTCCTCGTTCCACCCTATATCCCACACTCCCTGCTGCCCTCCATCCTGGACCCCTTCGTGATACCCACACTCCTCCGCCTCCCCCTCCCCCAGACAGTGATCGAGTTCGTGTTGGCGTAAGAAGTCTTCGGCGGGCGACGGGATGCCCGAACAGCCCCGATCGGCCGTCCCGTCTGCCCGCAAAGGCTCTAGGGCCTCAGCTCTCTGTTCACTGCTCCATGACCACGAGATGTAAGTGCGAGGGAGGACGGCTGCAGTCCCCCCTCAGGTGGCGTCTTGAAGGCTCGAACGATGCCGGGCCAGAAGTGGGATCGGTGTCCGGAAGACCGCGAGGCTGTCAAGGTGTGGACGCATTGTCAGCTACGCACACTCAATTGGATACAAATCAAAGAAACAAAATGTCCATACTCTGCGGACCAGCCGTCAAGGCTTGAGCGTAATGTTCAAGTGAGTGACCGCTAATGGGGCAAAAAGGAGAGAAAACGAGGTTCAGTCGGTTTGGTAAATCCCCCTCCTTTTGTAGGCCAGGCTGCCTGCATTGACAGGCAGCTGGCAAGGCTCTGTCCACAGAGGCACGGCTTTCCTGAGGCACACACACGTTCCAACCCGTGGCATTCCAGCGAATGACATGGAACGTCCTGGACCAGCCAGGCCATGCAGGATGGCCTCTCGGGGTGCGGGACAGACGCAGTCGGGGCTGAGTTTGGCCGACCGTCCATCACGCGGGGTGCGCGAGGGCCAATCACAGCCACCCGCGAGTGAGGCACAGAGACCAACCGCACACGACGACCCGGTTCCGAGGTAGTGTGCATGTATGTAGACCAAGAACCCGGCCTCTTTTTGAGGCACAAGCGCTTGTGTTGCTGCGGGGGGAAATGAGGGGCCGAGGGGAAGGTCGGCGCACGTCATCCGGTTCAACCAACCATGATAGCGAGCAAGATAAGGCTGTCGAGCAACGTTAAGACAGACGCACTATGTGGCAGTGGGAGACGGAAGAACATATTGGACACGGTTGATTCTTAAACGTGGCCGGCGACCGACTGTTGGCTTTCGGGAAATCCATTGGCCGACCTGCGACAACTTCTCACCCGCTCCCCGCTCCAGCAGATAACCATGTGCGCCGGCCCTCTAGCTCCAGTTCTTGCCAAAGAAGTCGAGAACCGCCTTGTAGCCCCGAATGTACTCTTCCTTCACCCTGGGCTGCGTCAGGTCGGCGCGGGCAGCCATCCAGCCGTGCACCTGGTCGTTGAACATCTCGACGTGCTTGGGCACCGTGAGGGCGGCTTCGAACGCCTTGACGTCCTCCTCCTCCTCCTCCATCGACGCCAGCATTATGACGGGCACCTTGATTTCCTTGGCTTCGTTGGCGTCGATAAAGGCCGCGTGGATCGAGGCTCCGATCCTGAAGGGGTTGGTGTCGGGCTGGGACGTTACGAGCGAGACGATTTTCCCACCCCAGCAGTAGCCGATGATGCCCCACGCCTTGACGCCGGGGTACTTCTCCTGCACCGCCTTGACGTAGTCAGGGATCTTGGCCGCCGTCTCGCCGGGCGCCCAGCCGCCGAACCAGGCCCCCAGGCTCTTTTGCTTCTCCTCCGTGTCCGGAGGGTACCTTGCAGGTGATGATGCGGTCAGCTTATTGTTTGGGCTGGCAAAATGCAGCAGGACCAAGAAACAAAGACTCACCACTCAATGGGGCACGGCTTGCCCTTGAACCAGTCGGGCATGAAAACCTTGTATTTTTGGTTGACGTCGCTGGTGGCCAGGATGTCGGCACCCTGTACTTGGAAATTTTAGCTTTATCGGCTGGGGTGATGGTAAAACGTTGAAAAAGGGGTATGTACACGTTTGGTCGAAATAGCCAAAGATGTCGTAGACGGAGATGATGCCCTTGTCGGCGTCCTCGGGGCCAGTGACGTCTATTGTTGTGGTGGTCGTAGTTGCCCTGGTTAGCAGAGCACCTCGGCTAGACAAAGCGAAGGCCGCTGGCAGGCACTCAACACGTACAAGTCTTGTAGCCACCCAGATCCTCGTACGAGCCCTTGGTCTTGTAGCCCGAAGCAACGACTGGCGGGACGTTGCAACAAGCCTTGCTGTGGCCGGCGGTAGCCTCCATCTCGGACATCCTGGCTGTGGTTGAGAATCTCACAGATCTGGTCGTTGTTGAACAAGTCGTCGAGGCGCTCAGTGTCGAGCAGGCGAGGTGAGAAGAAGTCAGACAGCAAGGAAGAGGGGCAGAGGTGAGAAGCCGCCGGGCTGTAGTATTTATTCCCGCGCGTGTGAATCGAACACCCAGCGGGGTTGTGGCTCTGCCGCCAGGGTCAGCAGTCGCTGCCGCCGCTGCTGCTACTACGCGACACTTCGCTACTAAAACTACCATGGATCACGGACGGCAATCGGACGGTTTATTAATTCAAGGCAGCTGTGATGGAACTGTGTGGGAAGCGTGTAATCAAGAAAGAGTGAGCTCAAGTCCGAAGCCGTCCGACAAAACAAATCATCTTCGCCCAAATCCACCTTGTCGCTTTGGCTGGCTCCCCCCCTGGGTAGGTACCTCTCAACGGGGTCCTTCTCTAGCTGATCAAAACCATGCAATTGCCGAGATCCCCATCCCAAGCAAAACGTCGCCATGATGATGCATCCTAATGGCGGTGCGGGGTAACCTCGAAGCTCTGGAGGTTTTTGGCAGCACAAGCCCGATGATGTCAGCCCCACGATCATACAGTGTGGGCGGCCATGAAATCACTGGGGTGTCCATCATTCTAGTGAGTGGGGCCAGCGGGCCAGCTTGAGTCGCGTTCTGAATTCGCAAACGCGATCATCGTTGGTGTTTCGTTGTTCATGGACCTCACCCATCAAAGGATGCTGTGTACCGTGTACCTCAGGTATTTCGATACCGCAGCCGTCACCCTTTACCATTCGGCTTGCTGTTCAGTGCTTCTGGGGGCCTGGTATGGGTACCGAGGTACTATTAGCGCATACAAGCGCAAGTGACTGCCATCTGTCAGCAAAGGTTTCATACAGTCTCTCGGCCGAACAGTCACCGCGGTCCGCCTCCCTCCATCAAGGCGCTCTCCTCCTGCTGTCATGGGCACTGGACTAGACTGCATCGTGACACCTTGGCGCCCGACTTCTAGCCTATCTACGGCCTCCCGCCTCCCTGCCAACGCGCGCTGCCCCTCATGCAGGTTGGCAGCAGGTCGTGTAACCCTGCATAGATATGAAGCGGCTCAGGGCCTTGTGGGCGCCCGATGGCCATTCGGCCACTCGTTGCTTGACGGGCCCTGGTGGCTTGACCCCCAGGCGCACGTCTCCTCACAGGCCAGATAACAGGGCAGCCAAATATTATCGTCATTTTGAGCCGCGGTATCCCACTGCCAACCAGGCCAAGCCTCCTCGACTCATCTTCACTCCGGCCACGAGGGCATATGTCTTGATGTGGCTCCATCAGCTGGTTCAGAGGTTGCGTGGTGCAAACATGGTCCGTAACATCATCTCCTGCTGTGGCCCGCTCGTTCAAATCTCCGCCTCCCGCCGTTCCTCCCTCCCATTCTCCGAACCTTGTGTGCGCCCAACGGTGATCGACAGTGAGCACTATACACAATGTACCTAAGAACCACGCTGCCTTGCGTACAAACTTCTCCATCTTCCTTCTCCCGCGAACTACAATGGAACAACATCTACTTTGTATTGAGAATGCGGACACCCATATCAGCCGTGAATGGGCCCTTTTGACCGACTTCCATGTCGTAGAGGATTTTGCAGGACTTGAGCTACCTCCAAACACACAAAAAGGGCGACTCGTACTCTCCTGTTTGGTGATCACGATCCCAGGAAACCATGCAGCTTGGTTCGATTCCCATGGCTTGAGTAACTCATCTGGTGGGGTATCTGAAAGGTCACCTCCGTCCGGTCAAGGACAAAAGTTGGACGCCGCCGCGTCGAGGCGACCATGTCCAGCGTATTACGACTGGCTCTGGCTGGGGTAGAAAAAGACACCGCACCCCATGCCGATCATATGTCTTCCTCGCACAAAGCACAGAAACAGCTGCCTTCACAGGTTTCTGGTCCCATACTCACCAGGTCAGTCTGTGAGGTGCCGCGTATGTGGGCTGCCCAGCAAGCCGGGATGGCGCCATTGGCCCAGGAACACAGGACCACGGCGAGCCTCTCCTGATGACCAGAGCTAGGCAGCCTCACAATGCCGGCAGCAAATAGCAGCCGTCTTGATAACTGCCGGTGCTCGACGGGCGTCAGATCTCGGGTCGTCCAGCCGACCGAGAGATCTGCACAGCCCAGACGTGGGGGCTACGTAGCCCATGGGCCGGTCAAAGGCACGACGACGCACCGAGCAGGATGCCTCGGAAACATTCGAGGCGGAGGGAGCTGGCGACCCATCCCGCCACCGAGTTGCCCCACGGCCGCCTGATCCCTGAAGCGGCTCTGGCCACCGATGGTGGGAGGGAGGCGCCAAGAACACGCAGGCGTCTCCCGGGCACGTGTATCCCCGATGCCTGAACTGGCACGCGGGCGCATAGTGAGGCGTTGACGGACGGTCAGAGTTGGACAGCGGCTGCCGTGCTCCGTGGACGTTGTTGTCCTGTCACAGACTAGGCGCTCCAGGTCGGAGGCCTGGCGCGCACAGGCCGTATCATGGGTGCCCAATCTCGGCCTGTCCACGTGGAAGCATAATGCGCCTGGCCGATGTAGATTGTGATGGGGGAGATGTATCAGCTCGATTGTTGGTCATCAAGTCTACTGCCAACCTCATCCCCGTGTAGGTTTCACGGCTAGGTGTCTATATCAGGAGCACCTCCCCTCCTAGACAAACTAATCTAGACGACACAATCCATCTCACAACAGTCAGCCAAACCTACATAAATATATTGCAAGCAAGATCCAAGTTTTCTCTCATATCCTCGGCTACACATACGCATATCCCAAGACCTCTTTAAATCCAGCAAAGATGCCTCACCGTGAGCGGCAAAGCAGGAGGCTGGTTATCTGCGACGATTGCATCCGTTGCGAGAGCTCGCATCGCCGCGGGCGGCACTCTCAGCTGTGCCCTTCCTCGACGCGGAGGGAGCAACAAGAGCGGCGGTACCGCGACGACCAACCAGGGCGCCACCAGCCTCGCTACCAAGGCGATGGACGAGAGAGCCTCGTAGGGCTGATCGGTATCTTTTGCAAGGCGGCATTCGGAACCGTCTTCGGCCACGAGACCACCGGCCGCCCGAGGCACCGGAGCCGCAGCCGCAGCAGAACAGCATCGCCTTATGTAAGCGATGCCCGTCTTTGCATAATAATGTTGCCTTGGTTCAGCCAATCCGGTAGACAAGATTCCAAAGCTCTGGCTGACAAGGACCTGGAAGCGCCACTACGCACAACGGCGAGATCACGGGCTGGATCATACAGCCTATTACCGTCGGGCGCCAGAGCAGTATGATGGGCGCAGTCACCGCCGTCATAGCCGTCCACACTCCAGAGAGAGCGGAAGACGGGCCGCGGCCGAAGATCTTCGCACCCATGGGAGATATCCCTGGGCTCACCCACCAGAGGACTATTACTCGGGTAACCGGTCCAGGAGGCCTAGGTCCCCCTCTCCCCGACGGCCGCAGCTTACGGTGCCCGTCTACAGCCGCCGGAGCGCACGTACCGTAGTTCAGCCGGTGCCACCGTCGCCAAGCTCACTATCGCCAAGGACACCATCGGCGAGGCAACCAGCGCCGAGGAAGCCATCATCAAGACGGCTGCTACTGGCGGCGCCTGCGGAGTCGCAGCCTGCGGTTGTGGACCGCAGAGCCTCGGTCGTCGACGTCCCCGACGACCCAGAAGACATTGCCCAGGATTCCGCGGGCTCGCCAACGCGAGCAAAGAAACATGTGCAGTTCGGCCCGTCCGTCGTGGAGCCAATCCGAAGCTAAGGGCCGTCGAAATAAAGGCAAGACATGTGGGTGCCTGTTTCGGAAAACTTTGATGGGAATGACTTTGATGGCTTTTGATAGCTTATGTATATATAAGAGGGTTTTCCCACCAAGACATGAGGCGAACGCTTGGCCCCCATAGACTTTTCCTACGTAGGCTGAGTCGCATCATTGACAAGGTTGACTCCCTCTCAAAAAGCGTATGCATGGAAAAGCAGAGAGTGAGGCTGAGTTTGAAGGAGCTGTGTGCGAAGTCGCTGGAAATGTGGATGGCTCTAAACTCTTTCCCAATTGGGGTAGGTCGTGTGTCATGAGCCTGCCTTCAATTGTTCGGCCTGAGTCACTGCTGTCTCTTATCGATAAAGACATTCTCAACGCCCCGGTGCGTCATCCTGCCTCATCCTGCGAAAGAGGCGCAGAGCAGTGTGCTTGGGATGTAACTCCGAAAGGGTGCTTACCTCCTCCAAGTAGCCTCCATTTCGTCCACATTCAAAAGAAACCCGGCTGCACCTTGAGCTCCAGTCTACAGGCTACAGTCCAGCATCCGCGCGGCCGTGTTACTCGCGAAACAATCACCTCTCCTTGCCCTTTCATTCGCCTCGACGCCCTCATCACCACAAAAATGTCGACCACCACAGCACCAGCAAGAAAACCAAACGACCCTCTCCACCGCCCGCTTTACCTCTACGACCTGCCCGGGGAGGTGTTGGAGTCTCTGACCTTCAAGGCGGCTACCGACCATGTCGCAGTCCCAGACACAGATGTCGTCACCCCCGAGCTAGAGCCAAGGTCACAGTCGCCCAGTACCAGCACTGGCGTCGGGTCGCAGTCATGCTCGCTATGCACCATGTCCTTCGCCACGGTCGGGGACCAGCGCAGCCACCTGAGGTCGGACTGGCATCACTACAACCTCAAACTGAAGCTGCGTAGCCAGCAGGCCGTCTCTGAACCCGATTTCGAGAAGCTTGTCGCCAACCTCGACGAGAGCCTTTCGGGATCCGACGACTCCGAGTCCGACGACGCATCAGGCGACGACACCCCAGGCTCCAAGGACTCGACGCTCGTTGCGCTCCTAAAAAAGCAAGCGACGCTGGCAGACAAAATGGGCAGCAATAAGGACGCAGGCGATGACGAACAGGACGGGTCGAGGAGACAGCAACGAGGGGCTGGCAACCCGCCCCTGGTCTGGCTCGGCTCGCCCCTCCTGCCTGAGAACACCTTCTTCGGAGTCTACAAAGCGCTATTCACCAACGAGGAGCTCGCAAAAGAAGACGGCGCATTCATCGAAAACATCAGGAAGCGCCAGCTGGAACCAATATCCATGGCAAAGCCCCCCAAGGATAGCGAGGTCATGCCGGTCGCTCACACGGGGTCGCACATTTTCCTCTGCATGATCGGCGGCGGGCACTTTGCGGCCATGATGGTGTCGCTGGCGCCCAAAAAGTCCAAGTCGTCGAATCCGGCCAACCGTGAGGCGGTCATCCTGGCACACAAAACGTTCCACCGCTACACGACGCGCCGGAAGCAGGGCGGCTCGCAGTCGGCCAACGACAACGCAAAGGGCACGGCCCATTCGGCAGGATCATCACTCCGCAGGTACAACGAGCAGGCTCTCGTCGAAGACGTGCGCTCCCTTTTGGCCAGCTGGAAGGGCCTGCTGGACACGGCGGAACTTTTGTTCGTCCGCGCGACGGGCACCACCAACCGCCGCACCCTGTTCGGCCCTTATGACGGCCAGGTCCTCAAGTCAAACGATAAGCGTCTCAGAGGTTTTCCCTTCAGCACGCGCCGCGCCACCCGAGATGAGCTCATGCGGTCGTTTGTGGAACTGACGAGGCTCAAGATTCGCGAGATTAAGCCCGAGCCGGCCGCACCCACTGAACAGACCCAACCGGCAGCAGTGGCTCCACAGACCGCGAGGCCCAAGCTGAGCGAGGAGGAGGAGACGGCGCAGCTGCACACAACCCAAATCCAGGCCTTAATACGGCGATCTAAACTCCCTGCGCTTCTAGCCTACCTCAAGACCAACTCGCTCTCGCCCGACTTCCTCTTTCAGCCCAATGGGACACAGCAGAACCGGCACGCGCCGACGCCCCTGCACCTCGCGGCGGCACAGGGGGCAGCCGTCGTCGTGTCGGGTCTGCTCTGCTCCGCCGGTGCCGACCCAACGGTGCGCAGCGGCGCCGATCATGCCCGGACGCCGTTCGAGCTGGCGGCCGACAGGCCCACCCGAGATGCCTTTCGCGTCGCGCGCGCGGAGCTGGGCGAGGACAGGTGGGACTGGGGCGACGGCGACAAGGGCGCCCGCGTGCCCGCGCCCATGACGGCGGCCGAGGCCGCGCGGCGGACCGAGAGGGAGAAGCAGGAGGCGGAGGCCAAGGAGACGGAGAGGAGGCGGGCCGAGGAGGAGAGGCTGAGGAAGGAAGCGCCAAAGGTGTCGGTGCCGTTGCGCGGCGGGAAGGCGAGGGTGGGGGAGCACAAGTCGGCGCAGGAGAAGCGGGATGAGGACATGAGGGGCATGAAGCCCGAGCAGCGGATGCGGATTGAGAGGGAGCGGAGAGCGAGGGCGGCCGAGGAGAGGTTGAGGAGAATGCAGGCGCCGTGAGTGTCGTTTTGTCGCAGCTCACACTTGACCTTTTACTTAGAGCGAAGATGTGGTGAGACTATACCCATCTCGCTGAATGTTTTGGAAAGATATCCCATAAGAAATGTGAGCGTGTTATTAAAAGAAAGTCTAGTTCGAATTTCATTTTGGACAGCAGTTTTAAGTCATCGCAAGTCCTCAATGTGGTTATTGCGATCACAACTGTTCCAACAAGTTATTGCGTTCTAAACATGCTGGAAATATCTTTTATCATTGGATGTCTCTTTTTTAACAACATCATTAAATTCTCACACTAAATCGAGCTTAACCAATACCTCGCTCTTCTCAAACAGATCAGATATTTCTCAAACTTCATCATACGGCAAGATTCGTCTTTAGGGGGCTCCTTGATGATTCCCCAAGGTCAGCTAAACGCCAACTTTTACGACATCTCCATGGCGCAACCATCACCATACACCCGATCTACCGCATCAATTCACGAAACGAATACGCCAGCTCCTGAGACCTGTCAACCAGCCAAGCCTTTGCCAAGAAGCCCACCTCCCCCGGCCTGACAGCCCGCCAGCGGTTCGAGAGGAGCAGCAGCGAGCAGAACCGCCGCCGATCCGGGGGTGATTGTTCGCGATCGCCGCCCAACCGACCTGGTTCCGAGAGCAGACAGCAGACCCCGCCCACGACGCAACCCATCGCGATGCCCCCCTCCCTTCGCCCACGGACCACAAGAGGGCTCATTAATTGGAGACGTCTCGCACTCCCCCTTCGTACCCGCTGGGCGTCCATCGCCAAGCTCTGGGGCGACGCTACCACGGCCAGGCACGTGCGGAAAATGGGAAAAGGAGGAAGAGCCAGCGGAATCGCGCGTGGGATTCTTTATGGATGGTCAGCGCTGCATGATACTAGCTACTTGAAACATTGGGGCTATAGTAACTCTTGTTCATTTCATAGGTTAGGCGCCCGTAGTTCAGAGGGGGGCCTCGCCAAAAACGAGGAACAGATCCAGCGGGAAACAAAGTGAAGGGGATGGGTCAAGTCTATTCATGCAGAAAGAGTTGGGAGTTCCTTGGATTTCGCGTTCGAGAATCCGGGCAAATATTGATACCATGACCTACCCTTACGATCGAAACCGTGTGGGAACAGACGCTTTATATCGTCAACGATGGCTTATTGACACCAAGTGGCATCGTAACGCGCGGTTGGCCAAGATTTTGGACATGGTGGCCTGCATTGAAAGCACGACGAAGAAAAGGGGGAAGCGAGGCTGAACCCAGGACGCGCTTGTCATGCACAGGGAATCGCCACCCGTCGTCCGGTGTTTATTTGCGCTTAAAATCAGTCGACAGGCTCATCCTGCTCATCCAAACCTTAAGCCCCTTGGAGGGCGAGAGTGTTCATCATGCATCGTCGTCATGGCTCGCCAGAGAGAGCTCCCACCCACGCGCAGAAGGGGGGAGCTTCGCGGGTGGTAAAAGTACACTGACCACCCGGCTCCCCAGTCGATTCCGGGGCCCATCATCCTCACACCGAGCCACTGCACGGCTAGGCCCGAGGAGGGCCATGGCCCGCTGATCCTGCTCTCACGATGCTCGCTCTACTACCGAGCTGGCGGGTTGCAAAGCTGACACGGTCCGAATGATGGGCCGGGCCCTCGCGGCGCTGCGCCCGTCTCCTATAATAGCCCACCGAGGCGTTTGTTATGCCGGAAAA